ATATGGAAATATACCTTTGAGAGAAGATAGGTTTCTCAAGTCCATCTCGGATGTCCCACACACGGGCGAGACAGTCGTCACCTCCTGAAAGAACGAGGTTGCCATTCATCCTGTGAAAAGCCGCAGTCCATGCCTCGTAATCGTGAGCCCGACAGGAGGTAGTCGTGCATGACTTTCCAATGTCAAATAGGAAAAGACTGCCGTCCGCAGCGGAGACAATGGCTCTAATATTCGCCTGATAAGGGACTGTAACGTAGCATATTGACCTACCTGCTATCCAGTACGTCAACAGAGAGGAGGAGGCTTGAGCAGAGGGGGTATGTTGACATCTTAAGATTGTCAGGGCCATCCACAAGGTTAATTCGACAAATTTCACCTGTAGAAAGCGCTGCAAAGCAGACATTATCGTCCAACCAAGATAAGTCCAGGACTCCGGCAGTTTCATGTTGCTTCAGAAGTTCAACCGTTTCTCCAGTTACAATGAAGATTGTAATACCTCCTGAGATTTTTCGAGATTCCTGCATTGGAAAATTCAGTGAAAAATTCTTTAACAATTTGAGTCGAAGCGAAAAAAGTTAATAATAGCAGAGGGCGGAGAGTAGGTGCATGTAAGCTTTGTTAGAACAATAAATCAAATAAGAGATGACAGAAGACAACAGTAAGTCCTTTAGCGAGAACGCCCGAAGTTATTTGTTGGCAAATAAGGAAACCAGCCAGAGGATTGGCAGTAAGTCAAAGAGCTTAGATTGGCACTGGCGTAACTCCTTACTGTCATGCCAACTTACTACTCTGACCAGTTTATATCCCTCTACTACTGTGTTTTTTGTTTTAGTTCCAATACGTTAATTGTGAGATGAATAAAGACTAATTTAAGGGTACTTCTCTGTTCTAACTCTTCTGTCTGTTTGGTTTATGCTAACTCAATCAAGCGATTGTGCCTATTCCGAGTGAAACGCTTTCAAATAAGAATGAAAGTGTACCTGGTTGCCACCAGACTTAATTTAAGGAGAGTTAATTCTGACAGTTTCGGCTTATCAGACGACAATGTGTCCTACTGTTATTCAGTAAACCATGCTTGTGAGAAACTTACTACAAAAAGCAAATACGAAATGTTAGAATCCAGGCTTATTTGAGTTCGGTCAAATGATTCGATGCATAAGTGAAATTTTTAAGTCTTCTAGATTCTAAATACATCATAAAAGAGAAGTTAGGAATAGTGATTCGGAAAACACTAAAAATTAACTGTTGGAATGTGTTACTCACCGGATCAAGTTCATAAGATCCACAGAGCAATTTGGAGTGAGATGGTGCGAATTCAACAGTATCCGTGTGCAGTGGGAGCAAGAATGAAGATATCTCCCGGAATGACATTCCAACGAAATTCACGATTTAATAGTGCTAACGACACAAAGAGAAAATGTGGGGCATGTCAGTATCTGACAAGAGTATTAATTTGTCACAGCGTTGCTCTTCCTGTATTACAAAAGACCCAGGAAAGAACTACATTCCACATCCAATATATGTTGGTAAGTGTTATTTTAGACGTGAGCTTTCTCCGCAAGGACAGGTTTTGCGGAAATATGAATCGCTTTGATCATATGCCGCATCTAGCTGAGTTTCTAGTCAATGATGAAGAGGACAACGGTCTCTTCAGCTAGGTATTACTTATATTCGTGCGCATCGGCTGCCACTCAGGATGGTGTGACCGACTCAAAATTTCGGGGCATCGAAAAGCCCCGTGAGTCTTGTTGAGTGGAGAAGACCACAGGGCAAAAATGCATCTCCCGAGCTGACTGGAGCTAGTATGCACAACCGTTTTAGTTGGCCAACTTAGTGGCCGTATCAAACGGAAACTTGGAAGGATGACGCTCCCGACAAGCTTCCTTTCAAGCAAACCCTCCGCATATGCTTCCGATGGGCAGTAAAATGTCTGGTTTAAGGCATAATTGGCAATGAAAATCGTGAGCTCCATCAGAGAATCCACTTGTCTAATATTTTAATACATTAAAAATCAGCAGCGTTGAGATATAACTATTCGCAACCTCCAAATTAAATATTCTCCCAATTTCGCATATTGCAATGGCAGGATTAGGCGGATGATTCTTTCTACCCAGCCACTGGCATTTTCTGAACGAAAAGATAGAAAGGCTTTCTTTGAGTTGTTGGATATGGTGGCAGCTCTAGCGCTAGTTAGTCTTGCTACACATAAGGACAGGTAGTAATACGATGAGATTTTTCAGGTGGCAGGAATGAAAACGGTTCCGTCAACCGTTCGACAACGGGCGACCACAGCTGACAACGGCAATAGTCAGCAATCGGTATACCCTCTGGCAATCACAACATTCCGGCACGAAAATTGGCGAAGCCGGACAGTAGAAACGCATCAGTTATAATAAGCCGTTGCTCCGAAATATAACATCCTAGAAAGATGGGTTTAAGAACTGGTGTGCGTAAGACGTATGCCACAGTAAGGCCATTCCCTCGACGGGATTCGAGTTCTGCTTTGTCAAGCGCCGCTAGCGGCCGCACAGCTGAACATTACCGACAAATACAATGGAGGCTGGAATGAACACTTCTGACTTATTAGCCGCCATTAGCTAGTAATACCCAATCCCATGTTTTACAATATCAGCACCCCCACCACTACTATATATGGTGAATAACACGCAATATCCTACTACTGGAAAAAGTATGTGTACGGGAATGTTGGTAGTATCGCATATACCGAGATTTGGTCCAATCAACTAATAAGCTCCATATCAGATTCCAGTCCATCATACGAACTACATAGTTCAG